TAAACTGCTCCGCAAATGGGGCAAGATCGTCGTCCTCGCGAACCACATGTCAATCGAAAGAGGCGTTCGTTCTGGATCGGGCATCAACAAGTACAAGATCGAAACTAGCCGTAGTTCACACGTACCTGCATACGCTAGATTCCGAGGTCTTAGGTAAACATCTACCTCGAACTACTTGAGCTATTGTCGGGCTGAGTGGGCGTGGCAACAGGCACAGATACATGGTCCTGATATCTTCATTGCACAACCTCAAAATCATGGAAGCTGACCCATTCATCCTGAGCTAGCAGCATACAATATTGGCGTATTGTAACAATGGTGGGCCTTGGGCATAGGGCATCCATTGCAACCCACACGTCTCAACCCATGATCCTGGGGAGGATGCCTAAAGTGACAAATTAATTAGGCTAATGGGATACAGCATCAATTACAAGTTTGAATAAACAAGAGAGAAACATGACTTGATTGCCCGAAACGCTGGCGTCAACAAACTCGGCACCGAAATGCCAAGTTGAAACACGCAAGGCCATCTTGCAACCAAGGGGCAAAAGTGTCATAGCTCATTTGATCAGACACTCTTCGAGAATATTGTCATAAAATCGAACGGGGTGGTGCAATAGCAATTGCCTGCCTTCCCGACAAATGCTTCTGATCTCACAAGGCACCTCATATCACGCAAGAAATAATCCGCATTGACTAATGCGGAAATTTGAGTGCACACACATTCATCTATGCGTATACATATATCGTGAATGTTTGTGTTGGCCAGGATCCGTTGCGGCATCACTGTTCCGCGATCCGCGAGCATAGTCTTAGTAAATGCTCAGTGTTCGATGTCCGGGAACACATTAACGAACCCCTGAAGCATTCGCGCCCTCTAGGAAAGCCATGCAGAATCAAGGAAGACAAAATATCAAAAGCGACAAACTTAACGCGCTGTAGCCGCTGCAGCCGCATTATATCCTGCATGCGCGTAGCCCCATGTGAAATACCAGCTACTAAACCGCACACACGGCAAGGTAATAATTCTCTGCTCCTCTCCAAACGTTCAAGAAGACCCTTTTCGGGGTCTATCGGCTAAATTCAAGCCTGTAGTACCTTTGATGCATCTCGGATTGCTACATTCAGCTCACTTAGGTTTGTGTATCTGAAGTGCTACGAGTATCACACCAGCAGGGCCTGACTCCATCCCATTACCATGCAGATGGCCCTCGAGCATGAATTTTCTCCGCTCAGCAGAGATAAACAATGCCATTTGCCCATGTGAATCCGATCCGATGCCTTGGGCGAGGGAGTGTGCCGCCAGTCAGCCGCAATATCGGGCTACAGCTGCCCACTCAGAAGTCAGAACTGCCTAATCACATATTAAAAGCCACGTTTTCAAGTCCTTCCTTTTGTTTCCTTCTCCAGAAAGTCTACTGATGTCCGATATTGTATGTCTGCTTCCCCCGTTCATACTTCTGGCGAAGCAACTGCAAAGGTTAACATATTCTGGATAAAGGCTGATTTGGTACTCATAAGAGGAAAGGAGAACGTATAAATTGAGACCTCTTACTAGGAGGATGATCTCTTAAGTACCTTTTCACAAGTCATCATGCACGGTTGATCTCGGAGGCGAGGAGCCCGTTTAGAAGCAACAGTTTCTTGTGTCTTCGAGCGCAGCTGTTCTGGCTCGCGTCCCCAGCTAATTCATCGAGCCTGCCTCGCAACTTGGAAAATATACCAGACCGAATCATACATCGTAAATAAAGCAAGTCCTAGAATCTGCCCATCCCGTTCATAAGCCCCTCCCCCCCAGCATGGTCGCTGGATCAAGCCAAAGAACCCATAGGATCCCACAACGGCAAGACCGTCGGCTCCTGTTCAGCTACGTCTCTGACTTCCTTGCTCAAAAACTTGCGGTCAACGACGGCCTGATAAACAAACTCGTCCATCCACTCATCCGTCATGACAAACCACCCTTTGTCGCCTACATTGTCCGTACCCCAACTATTCTGCACTCTCCAGCGCACAGGTTGCGCCGTCTTCTCGTCCAAATGCACGGCCGTCAAAACCATAGCATGCGTCATTAGACTCTCACCCGCCCGCAATCTCTGCTCCTTGGTCATGCCAAGTAGATCCGTGCCAATGCCAACTTCGTAGTCAAAGACATGAAGGTCCATGACTCCGGAGGTCTTGTCGCTGAATTTACCCACATCGCAGCCAAAGAAGACGGGTATCCCGGCCTTGATCATCTTCACGCAGGCTTCCTTGAGGGTCTTCATGTCGACGTTGATGTAGGTGACGTCACGGCCGCCGACGATGTTGCCCAGCCTGTCGACAGTGAGGAGGGTCATGAGGTCGTTGCGAGGGTCGTTGACGAGCGAGACCAGGTCTGAGATGGTAGTAGAGGTGATCTGGAAGTTTGAGCTGCTGATGTTCTTGGCAAAGTCCTTGGGAGTGACGGTCAGGGAGTGGACCTTGTTGTCCTTGTCGGCGTATGTCCATGTGAACTCCTGCGTGGGATTTGGCGTAGGTCCAAGGAGGAGGGTGATGATTTTCTGGACCTCCTGCATGTAGATGATCTTCATGGCGGAAATGACGCCCGGTGCCTGGCCGGCAGCAATGGCATTGCGCAAGTTCAGAGCATACTCGCGGAGTTTGGTCTTGAGGACGGTGTTGAGAATGCCCGAGTTTTGGGCGTTCCAACTGTCCGGGTACAATGTTTGAGGAACAAGGCCGTACTTGTCAACCAAGTTGTACACCATGTCCCACTGGCCACCGTCGGAAATGAGATCATCCAGAAGCCTCTGGACTACACGGCCCTCCAAGTCCTCTCCAGAGGTGTCAATGACTTGCTCGAGGAACCAGTTCGACTTCTCAAGCTTGTCATAGTAGTAGAGGTAGTTCTGGGACAACTCAAACGACTCGAGGTTGTACCTCTTCATGATAGCCACGCGGAACACATTGGTAGAAGCAAACAGCCAGCATCGACCACTCGAGCGCTGGTTTGTAATAGGCGCGCCCTCAAAGGGAATCTTGATATTGAAAACGTGCTGATTAGCAATCTTGGAAGCCTGCGAGGTCAGAACCGTCCGCGGGTTGGCCGAACTCAACGCCGAGAGAGCAAGCCTGCCAGAATAGACAGCAGCTTAGTAAATGAAACGTCGTAAAATGAGATATATATCGCTTCCTCGCATGTACGAACCTGTTTCGGGGGTCCGCCAAAATCGTCGAAGGCAACAGAGACACTGCATCCAACGGCAGAGGCTCTGCATCACGGGTCAACTTGCCGCTCTTCTCATTCACCTCGCCAGAGATGCTGTTCTCTTGGAGATTCATCTTGCGCAGACGATCAACCATGGCCTTGTCATGCGCTCGAGACGCAGACGGTTTTGACTGCTGGCCGCCCATGGTTGCTATGCTAGCTTGTGTGTACACGGCGACTCGACTTTGTAACGGTCAAGTAACAGTATCCCAGCATACGCCGCAAAGGGGGATGAATAACCAGCAATTCAAGCAAGAGAGAAATAGAAATAGAAATAGAAATAGAGGGGGAGAGCCGAACATCGGAACAGGTGCCATTAAGGTAACCTCTTCGACCACTCATGCCGAACCCCATCCAAGATGCAAGCATTCGGCTGTCACGCGCAACCTCCTCCTCGAGCAAGGTGCTAAGATAAGACACCCCATGTCAGCAGTGCCACCCGTACCACCCTGTTTCGCGACGGAGCCATGGCCAGGCGAATGGCAGCGTCTTCCTGAGGATTATAGACATCTCGACATACAATAGCAGGGTTGAAGAAGCACGGTCTTGGGACAAAGGCACCAGACAACTTCACAACCACATTGTATGACTATCCGGATATTTAGAGGACGATCTAAAAACCGTTTCAGCGGCTGCGATTTGCAAACAGGGCGCAACATCTCACTCCGCACGAGCATCAAAGGGAAGGATCCAGTACCCGGCAAGGCGAGACGGCTTCCCCTACAGGTTAAGACAGACGGCTGGGGAGTCTCTCCACAACCCGCCACATCCAAACTCCAACCCGCACCTTGATGGCTCAAAACTACCTCGCGGCATACTGCATCCATTCCACAAAGAGTCACGACATACCTCGACATTTGCACGTCAGCTCGCCGGACTACTCCAAATATTCAGACATGTAGACAAATCTAGGGACCCTCAGCACGACGCATGGCACAATGCTGCAGGCCTCGCGATAGTCTCACCATAGTGCATTAGGGTAGGCACATGCCTAAGGCGGAAATCAATACACTGGAGAGCGCCGTACAGCCCGACCTGCGCCTGATAAGCATGATCATTCTCTCTCTCTTCAAAAAAAAAAAAAAAAGAAAAGAAAAGAAAAAAGAAAAAAGACATCCCGTGCCAATAATCTATATCAGGGGACCCGGTCGTGGATTCCTCCCTCTCTTGAGCCAGAAACTCGAGTCAGCGTACAGCGTACCACACAACACATATATATGTATGCTGACAGAACGCTCGCCGAGTAGGATGGGAGGCAATTCAGGTGGCCAAAGTCATCGATACGTGATTGAGAACAACCGACTCACCGTTGGCAACAAAGTGGCTCGTCCACTTAGTCGCTGACTCGCTGACAGTTACTCATCTACAGATACACGCTCCCCCCCGAAGCTTCGTCTACCCAGGTAATGATTGGCCGTTCCACCATGTCAGCAGATGGGATAATAGTTGAAAAGTTTCCTTACTTCGACAACCAACCAGTCACATCCAGACATACAGGTTAGATATTAATTGACTTCTTCATTGGTCCATATACAGGAACGTCCTATCTACCTAGATTCTCTCAACGACTCCAATGCCTGACAATTTGTTCCATCCAAAACCATGTGCAAAAAATATCAGGTATGCTGCAATTTCTACAATCCAATGACCTCAAATTTCACAAGCGCCAGTACAATGTTTGCTTGGCTGCATTGCCATGGCTCGTCAAAGGAGCGTCGACGGTTCTTCAAAAACTACACCCAAGAAAACTGATTTACAGGCGAGAGCCGTGAATGACCTTCATGTCGACGGCGAGCTCACGGCCGCTGTCGTTGAGGACAAGGACACGGACGCTGCCACGGCCCGACTCGAAAGCAGTCGACAGGCGAGACCACAGGTTGGACTGATCAATGACAGGCAGGCTCTGCTTGACATCGCCGGTCTCGGTCATGGCAACAATGTGGCCACCCTGCATGTCCAGGACACGGTACTGCTTGAAGACGGGACCAAGCATGGTCTGAACAATGACGCTGGGAGCGGGGTTGGAGACGAAGGAGGACTCCTCGTGCAACTGCTTGGTGAACAGGTCGACACCGAGGTATCGGTACTGGCCAGTGGCATTTGAGGTCGAAATGCGGATGACCTGGCAAGGGCGGCCCTGGAGCATCAAGAAGTCGCCGAGGCGGATGTGGTGGCAGGGGATGGTGACGGTGTTGGGCACATAGGAGCCACCTGACTGGACCGGGCGAGGGCGGGTCTCGGTCACCCGAATGTCCTCCTTGATGTCCACGTCGACGTGGTCATGGTGGTGGTGGTGAGGGTGCGCAATCTTGTCGGCAAGCTTGTGGATGCCCTGGCGGAAGGAGTGGTAGTGACCTGAAGCTTCATTAGCGACTTGTACTTTGGAGATGCCACAATTGTGGACAGGGTGGCAGACGGCCAACATACCGTCCTCGTCGTAGTAACCCATGTTGGACTTTTGTTGTGCTTGGCTGAAGCGAGCAGGCTCAACGGTCTCGTCAGAGAACTTGACTTGCTGGTGAACAGAAGTCTGAACAGGTCGTTCTTCAACGGTGTACTGATTGACACGGACGTCCTCGGTCTGGTGGTACTGAGGGCGAGTAGGAGCGTCTACGGTGGTGTGATAGACGGGGCGGAAACGTTCACGATATTCACGCTCAGCAACGTCAATGGGGGAAGAGTAAGGGCGTTGGTGAGTGTCGATCTCAATACGAGTGTCGGTGTACTCAGTACGTCCTGGTCTGGAAGGATCAGAGTTAGCTGAAAAGATTTGTGTTTTGGTTGGATGTGGCCAGTAGTTTCTATGTCAACAAAGCTTTTGTGGTAACCGAATGCCCCTGACCTGGGGGGGTATGGGGCGTATATGAAGACCCCCTGCAGAAGCAATGCGTGTCCAATTCGAGGCCTAGAACGGGGCCTCTTTCGTCACACCGCATTATTCTGTCACTTCTGGGCGGAAAGGGTGGGAATTGGTGACCACGGGCGTTGCGCTCGCGGCACGCAGGATCAGAGAAGGGTCGTTCTCCGAGCCGCAGACTGGAGAGGGAGGGAGGGGAGCAGATGTCGAGGATGTGGCAACATGTGAAGCAGCAGGTCGAGAGCCACCGCAGAATTGGAGATGAAAAAGAAATCAGAAGGAAAAAAAAAAAACTCACCGGAAGTCTTCCTTCACGAATTGCTCCTGCTGGAAACCGGGACGGCGGTGACGCTCTTCGCTGAAACGGACCTCTTCTTCGCTGAAGCGGTGCTCGCGGTGCTCGCGGTGCTCTCCACGCGGGGGGAGATCGACGTGGGCAGAGAAAGAAGAGTATTGATCTTGCCGTCCGGCTGGCTCCTGCTTCTGAGGGAGCTTGACGTCAACCTCTTCGTGAGTCTGAACGGCGGTTTGCGACTCGCTGTCCCGATAAGTCGAGGGGAAGATGCTGAAAGGGACGGGGACGCGGGCTTCAAAGTCCAGATTGGCGACTTTTGCTGGCGCGAGAGAATCGGCTTCTCATACAACCCTCCGTAGCTGATAGCACGAAAGGAAGACAAGAAGGATTCCCTGGCTTCTGTTCCTTGAACAAAAGTCGAAGAGAGGAGAAGGGGAGGAAAAAGGGCGTTGGGCCTTTTTGATGTCTTCTTCTTTCTTGCAGGGAATTGAAGTCTTGTCTGTTGTATGATGTGGTTGGAGATAATTGGAGGGGAAGGATCAGGTCGGAACTGCGGGCAGACGCACCAGGCTTTTGAGGACGAAGAGCAGGATTGGATCAGGTAGGGCCATTGCGCAGCATTGTGTTGCCAAGCAGGGTGTGTCTATTAACCGTCGTGTTTATGCCGGCTGGGGTTTGTTTACTCTGGTCCAAAGAGGAATAGCTCCGCATCTCATCTCCACCTGAGCATCAGGAGAGCCAGCTCGAGGGCGTCGAGTCCGTCTCAGCAACCCAACATCTGTCCGTCTCCGACCCAGAGAGGCCTGTTCGTCAGCTGCATTGCACCAGATGGTTGCAAGAGGCGAAATTGGTCCCTTCAAGCCCAGTTTTCATACACGTTTTATCGGTCCGTACGAATGGAATGCGGGAGGCGGGAGGCGACTGGGGGGGAAGATGGGCGCCTTGTTCCGACCAGGACCAAGGAGCTTCAGGCACACAGCCATTGGTTCTCCCATGGCACCACTCGTCTCCGCGGCACGGTGTCTCAGACACGGTCCTTGAATTGGGCCGTGTTGGGTTCATTGTATTTCTGCGTTGTGGAGCTCAGCTGGTGCTGATGCAGAAAGACGTCGACGGATGCCGAACAATGCCATTGCCAGATGGACAACAAGAAGCCGGGAAGCCAGCACGTACCAGTGCGTCTTCATTCTTCCTGCTTTCTGCCTCCGGCCTTGAGTTCCAATCCGATGCTTCAGGGGGCCACCCTGACACGGGGGCGGATGCCGTCGTGTGAATCTGCCATTGGATTGATTCGCTTGATTCACCACCCGGCTGCAGAACAACTTATGCAACAACACGAGTGGACACGGTGGACGCTGCGGACACTCCAGCACCTCGGGCAGGGCGTCCAGAGGAGGCTGGCTGTTTGGACGACAGCCGTTATTAGGTTTGCCTGGCGCGTCGCCCTGCAGACAGACGGTACATACAACAACATACGGAGTACACTGGCGTCCGAATCCACTTGGGCTGTTCAGATACGGTGCTTTCCACCTAACAACACGTTGGCAGGTTTGCCCAAAAGGCAGCTGGCTACATTCGAGGGTTGTATTGCCAGATCAAGCTCATGCTAGAGCATCTGTTGCACGATCCGTCGATGCATCGAACGCGGCCATCTGACAAGGCCACGGAGCTTGTCAAGTGTGTCAAATGTCGAAATTTGGGCTCTCCAGGGATCTGATACGCTGTTGCTGTGCCAACAAGAACTCGGACCCTTGCTCTTGGCTGGTGGTCTATTTGCGTGTGGCGCTAAGCAATCTGCAGCTCCCGGCCATGACCGTACCGCGTTTCCGTCTCGCGTGTTGAGATGCGTGCGGGTCGCGCAGACGGGGTTTGCCTCGGCCAAGATGAGTAGGATTTGTGATTCGGACTGAGCCTGTGACGGCGATTTCCCGTCTCTACGGAGACTACGGAGTATGGTAAACAGGCAACAATTGACCGACGACATAATGCATCGTGAATCTAAGGAACTCCTTGTGCTCCGTAACTAGGGCCATGATACTGTTGAGAATTGATACCTGTCTGTATTCAGATCACGTAGCATTGCTGTGTTTTGCTCAACAGCCACTGCGATGCTCAATTAATGTCTCTAAGCAATCAATTGAGCTGGATCAAAGTACATGTTAGTTACTATTTGTAGCCACGCCCAGCACGATGTTGTACATACATCAGTAATAGTAGCTATCTTTTAGCGCGTGGTGTTTTTGGCTCGAAACGCGTGCAACTAAACTCAAGAGAACCCAAACCGTACATGAATGTCGCGGCGACTTCGCCCATGTGGCTTAGAAATTTGTTGAGCCAATGGGAGGATGCAGTCTGCCCCCATGTTTTGTCCTCTGTGCAAAACTTCATTTTTTATATCGTATATTTAGCTAGCCAAGTCGTGGTTACTACATGTAGCGGCGGTTGATAGACTCAAGGCCTCAGAGGCCAGACGAGCACCCCAGATCTATTCCTGCATTTACCGCCTTCGGCGTCCCACGCAAACCCGCAGATTGCACAGACGGCACGTCCTATCTTGAGTCCTGCCGCTGTCTGTCCACCTCCACACGGGATGATGCCAGTCGCATCGCGACACTTGCTTGATGCATCTGGCGTCTCGGGCGAGTAGCTCTCGGGGGACTTGGGCGGCCAGCGGACGGCGCCCGTCGTATCCAGGCACCTGTTGCCCGTCACATCCCAGGCCAGCCCGCAGACCAAGCAGGCAGCCTGCCCCGTCACCAGCTTTGCGGCGGCGGGCGCCTCAATCTCCATGGCCCTCTTGCGGAGGTCGGCACAGGTATTGTGCACCTTGGCGCCCAGCTGCTGCTGCTGCTGCTGCTCCTGCTCGTCGGGCGGGACGGCATCGACGCGCTCGCAGGTGCGGAGGACGTCGTTGACGCTGTCCAGCCGCCTCCTGCTCTTCTCCCCGTACGACAGGAGCGCCAGGTCCGCGGGCCGCTCCTGCCCCGGCGTCACACTCTGCAGCGCCCAGAAGACGCGCTTGAAGAAGTTGATGAGCGCCGCCTGGTTGTCGTTGCCGCTGATGTCGTTGCGCGGCGGGCCCCCAATCGCCTCCTGCGCCGCGTTGACGCCGTCGTCGAACAACTTGACCGTCTGGCCGATGGGATGGTCCCAGCCTCGCAGCCGCCTGAGCACGTCTTGCAGGTACGGCGCCAGGATGCTGAAGCCCACCAGCGTCCCCGCTCTCCCGTGCACCCGGAAGCCGCTCTTGACTGCCGCTGGCTTTGGCTTGGGCTTCGCCGGCCTCGCGTCGGGTCCGTCGGCGGCGTTGGCGGTCCAGGGCACCTTGGCGCTTTTCTGCTTGGACGAGTGGCCGAGCTGCGTCATGCAGCTGTCCTTGCCGGCACATGCAGAAGTAATCAGGTCGTCGAGGTTCTTTTGCACGTCCTGCGCCTTGAATTGCTTCCACGGGTCCTCTTCCCACGCCGTCGAGAGCCGAGGGAACCCCGCGAGCTGTGGTGCAACGCCCGCGCCTCGTTGATTCTGGAATGTGTTCTTGTTAAACTTTGTATTCTTCTGGAAGGCCTTGAACTTTTCGTTTCGCAGCCTCTCTTGGGTCACCTTGCCGATCTTGGGGTCAGAAAAGTCATCCAAATATGTGACTTGCCACCAGCCTTCAATCTGCTCAAATGGGATAAAACCCACAGCTGCGTGTTCTTTTTGCGCGGGATAAGGGGAGTATTTGCCAAGGGACTTGTTGACATTTACTAATTTTTTATCAGCGTGGATCTTGTAAACGAAACCCTTTTCCTCTGGCTTCTCATCATTAATGGCGAATGTGAGCGACACGCCAGGATCAGTACTTGTCGAGACATAGCGCGTATATTCGGCTGTATCTCCTGCGGCGTGGCGAAACAGGCTGCTGCCTTCCTGCATCTCCACGTCAGAGAGACTGCTGCCTCCATATGATTGTGACTTCTGCAGGCCTCGTGAGTAAAATCCGCCATCCTTTTCAACGTCCTCTGGGGTCCTCCCGATCTCGCCGCGGTACACATGTGTCGGAGATTCGGTATCAACATCGCCTAACTGGCGACGGTCGAGCGTCGTCTCGGTGCTGCGCCCTGGTTCTGGTGGGTGGCTCTGGCAAAGTCCAAGCACTAGTAGCAGCGTGGTTGTCAAGGCCCAGGGGCTCGTCTTCATCGCTGAAAAACGTTGAAGGAAACGATACTATCGTAATGCGGCGCAGTGGCGCTGAAAGATGAAGGCACAAGGGCGGGAGTCAGTGCTTATTCTCTGCCAAAGCATGTGGATTAGCACGGCAGCATTGCCTGCGCGGGGTTTATATATCATACCTTGAGCTGAACTCTCTTTAATATCTTCTTATTTTCCCAGAAGATGTCTTATTCGGCCCTTTTCCCTTGTCGACTCATATTGGAACTCGGACGTCACGCGTGACCAAACGCACAAGGGTTCGATTATACCTCAAATGAGGGTTTTATAGCATAGCAGCGAACAAGTCACGATGGCTGTTATCGAGCGAGTCCGAGTCACTACCCATGCCTCGTCCTACCATACCAGAACTCATACAATGGGGCGCTTGCGAGTTCCGAATAAGGTAGAGCGTAGCACCGTTGCCTTCATTGAAAACCCCAACCTTAACACAACAATAATATACCTTTAAGCATGGATATTGCCTTTATTAATGTAATAGCCGACGGCTCATTGTATTGATAGCTGCAAGATCCATCTCTACCCAATCCCAGTCTTCCACTGCGCTAATCTAATTAGTTGTTAATCTTGCCTTACTTACACCGACCTGAGGGAACGGGAGGTGATCTACCTCCCATCTGGTAGACTATTCATGAATATTAATAAACACGATACCGCAAGTCTTAGAGCCGTGGCAGTTATTGCATTTTGGTTCGCTCTTGTCAGTAGCCGGCGTGCAATAAGTAGCTTATGCTACGCTTGGGTTATGTTTTCGCTTACTTGCCTGCACCTGTCAGGCAGTCAAGAGCACGCATACACATAAGCTGAATATAGGGGGTATTGGGCCAGGGACCGAAATTCCTAGATCTTCTTGCTCCTTGACTCGACGGTCAAAGCCCATGACCGTCGTGAAAGCACCTAGTCTCACCTACAATTCATGCAAACAATTGATGTCAGGCCATTCCTCCCTGGGCCCTCAACCAACCGCTAGCGGCTCACACTAACCTGTTCCTACTGGTACACGCACAGCATATTAATTTAATATTAATGGCGTGGGTTACGGGTCAATTACAAACGCAGCCCGGCGTGGGTGGGATAGCCGATTCGGAAACGAACTGCAATGGCGCTTCCCCAAAGTACAGCATTGATCATTTCTAGACCTCAAAACTACTTTTGTCATTTCTTTGTTTAATGGTACCCAATTGCTTTGTTGGCTTAGAAGCAGTAACTAACATCGCAAGTGATGCCGCTCTGGCGTGGTGGTGTAAGTCGAAACACAACAGCACTTCTCTAGTCTCTGTACTCTTAACTAGCATTAATTAATTCCAACTCGCCCATTCAATGCTTTTATATACAAATAGTGCCCTTTTAACAGAAAGGCATCACTAAACGGCAATCGAACCAAGCATAGCGCAAGCAATTCGCTCAAACAACACAGGCTTGCACAAGGCCCATCAACAAAATAGAAAGCCACAGTAATAAGGTGCTCTAAAAGTAAGCAAGGCAAATCTTATTCAATAAAATACAAAGGCATAATGTCAAAGGGAGGTTCTGTTTGAAGTCTGACGCTTGCAGTCAGCTGCCTCAGCACGTGACACCATGTCGTCACTCTTTTGAGCTCTTTGACTCAGCTCGGCGTGAGCTGCCCCGCGATGACAGACGCTGTCAAACCATGTGTGTCCTGCCCCACGTTTGACGAATGTTCTCGAGGACTGGAGTTGAACCACCAAAAAGACTTCTGGCTTGGTTCAACCCGATTATCTAGGCACTTTGCAAACCGAGCCAGTACATTCCAAGATCCAGCATGAAGCAAAGATTCTCGTCATTGGATGTCAAGGTGCGTTGCTGCGGATCCGCCTCTTGAAGCCGCCTCTTCTAACACCGCGGCCTGCTCCGTTAGGTAATCGCACACGAGCTCAATCAGAGCTTGGTGACGCTACGTCTGGCGAACGTGTACGACCTTTCGTCCAAAATCCTGCTCTTGAAATTCGCCAAGCCCGATAATAAGAAACAATTGGTTGTTGATACTGGATTTCGCTGCCACTTGACGGAATTTTCCCGAACTACAGCTGCTGCTCCGTCGGCTTTCGTGGCTCGACTGAGGAAGCTCCTGAAAACGAGGCGATTAACTTCAGTGTCGCAAGTTGGCACTGACAGAATTCTGGAATTCCAATTCAGTGATGGACAGTATAGGCTTTTTCTAGAGTTTTTTGCAGTACGAATCACCCTACCGGCTCAACCGTTTCAGTGGGTGGCAAAAAGATCTAACGAAATACACAGAGCGGCAATATCATTCTGACCGACGCCGACTTGAAAATTTTGAGCCTTGCCCGAAATGTCTCGGAAGGAGAGGGTCAGGAACCCCAACGCGTTGGCCTGCAATATTCACTCGAGAATCGACAAAATTTCCACGGCATTCCTCCCCTAACCAGAGAGAGGGTACAGGTGGCCTTGAAGTCGGCAGTTGACAAAGCTGCCGCCACTCCAGCGTCCAAAAAGCTGAAAGGAAAGCCCGGCGGGGACTTGCGAAAATGTCTGGCCGTATCTATTGCTGAACTCCCCCCGGTTCTCGTTGACCATATCTTGCAGTCTAATAACTTTAATACGGCTGTCAAACCGGTCGATATTCTGGAAAACGAAGTACTATTGGATGAGCTTGTCAAGCTCCTATCAGAGGCCAAATCTTCTGTCGAGGACATAACCAGCTCCGAAATATGCACTGGCTATATCTTTGCAAAAAGACGGGATGGAAACCCCATTCAAGAGGCCCAAGGCAGCGAAGCAGCGACGAACCGCGACGAACTACTATACGAGGACTTCCACCCATTCATCCCTCACAAGCTTCAGGGAGACCCAAGCATAAAAGTGCTAGAATTCAAAGGCTATAATCGAACAGTGGATGAATTCTTCTCGTCATTAGAGGGTCAGAAGTTAGAAACGAGGCTCAACGAGAGAGAAGCAGCGGCAAAAAGGAAGCTGGATGCAACCAAAGCAGATCAAGCCAAGAGAATTGAGGGCCTGCAAGATGCCCAGACATTGAACATGCGCAAAGCGGCTGCGATTGAGGCAAATGTTGAATGGGTGCAAGAAGCTATGGATGCGGTCAATGGGCTTCTTGCTCAGGGAATGGACTGGGTCGACATTGGAAAACTCGTCGAGCGAGAAAAGAAGCGCAAGAACGCTGTGGCAGGCATCATTGTCCTTCCCCTCAATCTTGCTGAAAATCTCATTACGCTCAGCCTAGCTGAAGAGGAGGAGGAGGAAGAGGAGGAAGCGGATCCATTTGAGACAGATGACAGCGATTCCGAAGACGAAAACGAGGCCAGTACCATTTCAAAGAAAAGTGAGAAGCCGGTCAGGGGTTTAAATGTTGAAATCAATCTCAAGCTGAGCCCATGGAGTAACGCTCGAGAGTATTATGAACAACGGCGGACAGCAGTTGTAAAAGAAGAGAAGACGCAACAGCAGGCATCCCGGGCTCTCAAAAATGCAGAGCAGAAGATTGCGGAAGACTTGAAGAAGGGGCTCAAACAAGAAAAGGCTCTCCTGCAGCCTATCAGAAAACAATTGTGGTTCGAAAAGTTCCTCTGGTTCATCTCTTCCGATGGTTACCTTGTCCTTGGTGGAAAAGATGCTCAACAAAATGAAATATTGTACAAGAGATATCTGCGAAAGGGTGACGTATATTGCCATGCCGACTTGAGAGGAGCGCCAAGCGTTATTATCAAGAACAACCCAAGCACGCCGGATGCACCTATACCTCCGGCAACTTTAGCCCAGGCAGGCAACCTGTCGGTTTGCGCCTCTGAAGCATGGGACCAGAAAGCAGGTATGGGGGCATGGTGGGTTAAGGCAGACCAAGTTTCGAAGTCGGCACCCGCAGGAGATTTCTTGCCGACTGGTAGCTTCATGGTGCGAGGACAGAAGAACTTTTTGGCCCCGGCACAACTTCTACTCGGTCTTGGGATCATGTTCAAGATTAGTGAAGAAAGCAAAGCGAGACATGTCAAACACAGAATACACGATGTTGACTCGGCTCTGGGCTCAGACACAGCGACAGATCGCAACGATATGCAGAGCATTGCGTCGGTGGCAGACACTCAGGAGAAGGAACCAGAAGACGACGTAACTCAGTCCGACAATGAAAGTGATGACGGCCAAGAAAAGGAGGATGCCCGCGCAAACCCCCTTCAGGCTCCTCCTGATGCTGCAGAAGACGACAGGGTAGACGAAGCCACTGGTGCAGTGTCATCCTTGAACCTCACAGAGCAGCCAACTGGTGAAGCCGATGGCGAGGATGAGGCAGCAGAAACTGGCACGAATCGAGACGAGTTGGAACTGGCGACAGAAGCGTCCGAAGCACCGACCAAAACATCAGACACGACGACTCAAACCGCCGGTACACCACCCTCTCATTCCAAGAAAGGACCTCCTAAGCGCGGCCAAAGGGGAAAAGCAAAGAAGGTTGCTCTCAAATACAAGGACCAAGACGAGGAGGACCGCGCCGCCGCCGAGGTACTAATCGGCGCAACCGTCGGCCAGAAACGACAAGAGGCAGAGGCCAAGGCCAGGGCGGACAGGCAAGCCGAGCTAGATGCCGCCAGAGAACGACGCCGTGCCCAACACCAGCGACAGCAGAAAGAAGTCGCGGAGCACGAAGAGATTAGACGGGTGATGATGGACGAAGGCATCGAGGTGCTCGACGCAGATGAAGCCGAGAAGGCTACTCCTCTCGATGCCCTGGTCGGCACTCCCCTGCCGGGGGATGAGATTCTCGAGGCCATCCCCGTATGCGCGCCTTGGAACGCCCTCGGCAAGTTCAAATACAAGGCGAAGCTGCAGCCCGGAGCCGTGAAAAAGGGCAAAGCCACAAAGGAAGTCGTGGAGCGCTGGAAAGCGGATTCCGGCAAAAAGGGCGCCGTGGACGAATCCTCCCTTGATTCGGAAAGGATGTGGCCTCGCGAAGTAGATCTGATCAAGGGCATGAAGGT